TTTTTTGCAAATAAATTTATGTAATCCTTTTATATTTTTAAATCTAGAGCTCCAAAAATTATAAAAATATATTCATGAAATAATGCATCATGTTTAGAAAATTTTTGTGAAATCACTTTGCAAAATGGACACCAAACTTTCCAAAAAAACCCTACTTGTACTGACGTACGTCAATTTTTTACACTACCCCAAAAATTGAGAAAAAATATTATAGCTAAAGTACAATAATATCTATATTATGGTGAAGATGGTTTATAAATTTGACTTATAATGACTCCACAAAAAAATTATTTAAGTCAGTCAAAGTACGTACTATTACACCTACTTTCCCTAATTTGGGAAATTAACAAATTATAATCAATGCTTCCATAACATAATTATTTTTGTTCGGTTAAGCATTCTGACTTATGTCATTCCCGTATTTTCTATATAAAAACTATAGTGTCTCCTATATTTTCCTATTATATATCTGTGCATGTTGGATCATCTTACAAAATTAATGTATTATATTCTACCTCTATTAACATAAATATTATAGTACATTATAATATCATTTAACAATAATATTATAGGGTAGCTATACACAAAACATATATATATATACTACTATTATAAAACTCCATTGAGTTTTTTCCTAAACAAGATCCCATCCTTCCATTTTTATTATTTAAATAGAATCTTAGCCTTTGATTAATGAATTTTAATTAAAAGTTTTAATTTAATTATTTAGATTAATAATGTGACTATTCATGTGACATTTAATTAATTAATTTGTATTAATTAAATGACTATTATGACTACTCAAATGATTATTAATGAATTTGTATTAATTATGTAATTATTCAAGCTGACTATTTAGTTAATCATTTGAACTCTTCCGCTACACAAAAAACTTATAAGTAATTATTGGTAGATTTGTTGGGGGCCTAAGGGGGCAACGCCCTTGGCAGGGTTTGACTTAGGCTATTTTTATTTACTATTTCTCTTTGTATTTTATTCATTATTTCCTAATAATAACATATATACATAATGTGTTTAATTATACTGGGCAATTGCCTAAAGATCATAGTATTTTAAAACTTTTAGGGGGGGAAATTGCATAAAAAACTCTTGTAATAAAGATTAGCAAATAGATTGAAGGGGACAAATTATCTAAGGAATCATATAATAAAACTTTTTTTTTTGGGGGTGGGGGGTAATTGCCCCCTTTAGGCTCAAAGGGGTTCCGTTCCTACTATAAAATATAATCATAATAAATAATATTAATACAAGTAAAATAAAATATTTTAAATAATGCCAAATAAATATATCTGAAATTTTTTGAACATATATCCCTAACTTCCTTTGAGATCTTCTTTCATGATAAATAAGGAGCATTATATTTGCTCCATATGATATCATGAATCTTGTGGATAGCCTGCCTTGAGGGACTCAAGCTACAAGTAAAAAATTTTTCAATAATATATAATACATCAAATTATAATAACTTTACAAAAAAAATTGAACTTATATATCTCCCTCAGGCTCTATGTATACATGCTTATCTTCTACTATTACAGGCTCCCCAGTACCAACCTCTATTTGTGTTGATAGTTCACCTATCCTCGTGCACAAGAGGTGGGTAATAATAGGGGTGGTGGCAAGGAGGGTAAGGGTATGTTGATAGAGTTGAGTGTGTCTACTTTAGAGATAAAAATTAAGGACTCATTGGCATAGGAGGAGGGAAGTACCCAAGAATGGGAGGTATTCTAACCACAGCTAGATCTATTTGTTATTGATCCTACTTAGTGGGGGATTGATGCTGACTCCCAGGTGGTGGTGATGATATCACTAGTGGAACTCTGGCCCTGACCCTATTCACTCTGTTTAGATGCACTTGGTCCAGTGCTTAACTATCTCCTACGAGCGAATTTTGAAGTAATAGATCTACGAGGAAGATCATCACCTGAAGCCATCTGTAGTAAAAGAATCAATTATTAAACATAAAGTTGTAATATATATGAAGATTTGTATAAATATAAATAAAAAAATATAGAAGGTAAACTGTTAAGTTGTAACAAACATAAAGAATTACAAAATTATAGTTACAAAATGTATATTAATTTATATACATAAGGATTTAGATAATTATAAACGGCTACATGAGCTAACTTAGTTTTCAAAAACTACACTACAATAAGTATATTGTGATAAATTTAGTCACTTAAATTATAATAACTATTTTGAATCAGAAATATTTTTATTGCTCTCCAATGTATCTTCACTTTATTTCTCATTCTTACTTGAAGAGCTTGTCAAACTATTCACATCCTCTAACTACATTTTAATATTATGTGATGTAGTTAACATCTCATTAATTTCAACAGATCTATAATCTGACATCTCATCATTTTGATGTGTAGTAGCTACGATGTATTATTGGTCAATGATTCCCATGCTTCAATTTTTATGACAGCTAGCCAATCTTACTTATCTTTATGAAAACTAAGATATTTGTTAAAATAAATTTGAACAGCTTGACTTGCTAGCATAAATGGATCAAACTTCTCATATCCTCTACTTTGTTTTACTTCTATTAAACCATATATAAGATGAACCATTGTGCCTCTATTTAATATTGGATCATACCATTAATAGTTGAATAAATATATAATATTATCATCTTCTCTTGGGTACTATAGCTCAAGAACCTCATATAGAATACTATAATAATCACACTCATTTTTTTCATGAGTGTTTCCTCTAACATAAAGAATATTAAATCTTTTACATTCATGACTTTTTCTTCAAACACTCATATTCTTGATGAGTGGTCAATATATATAGTTAATGGGTTCAGATTTCTAACCAAGTATTTTTTTCCTCTATATTTTAATGTAAAAGATTTAATATTTTTCATACAGTTTTGGCAAGCTAATTTTTCTACTATGCTCTAGTCCGATAACATACCATAAGCTAAAAAATTGTCAATGATCCAAAGCAATGCAGCTCTAAAGAGAAAATTTTATTTGGTTGAGATATCACATGTGAGGACACCTTCTTCCCATAAGAATTTGAGATCAGCAATTAATGGTTGAAAAAAAAATATCAATTTTTACTTTTGGATTATGTGGTCTAGGCATTATAAGTGTTAAGAACTTATACGGGATAATCATACACATCTCTAATAGAAGGTTGTATGGTGTTAATATAATTTGCCAACAAGAATACAATGAAGCTGCCTAACTGTATAAAGTAAAACCATCAGCACATAATTCCAATCTTATGTTAAGTGGCTCAGTAGCAAATGAAGCATGTGTTTGATCAAAATGTTTTTACGCTTCACCATATGATGGATGAGAAAGAACACCACAGCATTAATTTTTTTTGCTTATGCCATCTCATATGACTTACTAAACTCATTAAAGTATAGAGCCACAGAAGTCTTGAAATAATGGATAGAATTTATTTGTATGTCTTTGGGAGTGTTTTGATGCATGAAAATAATTATGTGTGCTCTAGAATGAGTCTCAAATATTTGTTATGAATTTTAACAAAAATATAAAAATATCAGTATTTGAGCGCCTTGGTGCTGGGTGTCCGAGCGTCTTAGCATTGCACTCAACTAAAGCACTAAATAGTAACATTATAGAGTCTATAATCTCTGATTATAGTGCTGCAGTACTAGGCCATTAAGAGCACTTTATATATTTTTTAATTCACTATTCCATTCATTTCAATCGAGCACTCGGCCAAGTAGGAGAGAGAAAGAGAGAGGATTGGAGGGGGAAACTACATTTTGAGTCGCTTTGGGTTATTTTTAGCCATTGGCCAAATTAGGAAAGTTGTCTGGATCAAGGAAGGTCATATTATACCTATCTTAACCATCGACCCAATTAACAAAGTTGTTTGGATCGAGGTAGGTCACATTATGCCTAATTAGCCATCAGTTCCATTAGGAAAGTTTTTTAGATCGAGATAGGTCACATTATGTCTGTCTTAGTTTTCAAAAAAATGAAGTTTTTCTAAATTTTTTAATTAATTTTTTATTTCTTTTAGCGAAAAATGTAAATAACTTAGCACTGAAAAAACTTTAATGTGTAACTTTTTTTTATGTTATAGAGATTAAGATTATGAACGTTTTAAATACTTTTTGAAAAAAATTTATTAGGTATTTTGGAATTTGTGTTATTTTAATTGAACATAAAATAATCTGAACACTGAAAAATACCGTAGCATAATTAAAGTCTTAAAATAATATTTTACACAATTCTTCATAAATTTGTTATGTTTTGAAAGAGTGAAATTTGGTTCAATAAGAATTTTGTTGCTTACCATTATAAAAAATATTGTACAATTCTGATACATGTTCAATTATATATTAACTGTCATAATGCGATGAAAAATGTGCATATGTGATTAAAAAATATCTGCTAGGAGATATAAGGGGTTAGAATCCTTTGAGATTATTTCTATAATCAGAATATGTGACATGAACTACTTTATGATATGAATTGTTCTATGATATGAATTTCAATTTATTTATATGCTTAGCATTTTTTTTAAATATTTGGGCTATGCTCTTATTATCTTATATGTTTTTTATAGTCATAACAAGTTTATTTTTCAATTTTGTAGCTTCTGTTTGACAGTAATATATATATATATGTATATATATATATATATGTATATATATATATATATTCAATTCATTTATAAAAATTTATAAAACATTAAAAATACCTAGTTTAATATTCAGATAAAACAATTAAATAATATGTAATTATAAATTAATTACATATTATTAAAAATAATTCTGAAAATCATTTTTCATATTTTAAATATACAAAATAATTTTCCGTTTTATTAAATACATAAAATTCATTTCGGTATTTATTTACTTCTCTAATCAATTTTTATTCACTCTCATTCAACTAAATTAAATATTAATTAAAGTTCTTTTTCATAAATTCGTCTATTAAAAAAATTATCCAATTGAAATATAAAATCAAATTTCCCACTATTATTTCTCTTTTTTATTTCGTCTTGACCTCATTGACGGGCTGCCGCCGGGAACTTGAGATACAAAGGTGGGCGGGTGTTGGCTAGTCCAACTACTCCTCCAAACTCCGCAAGGAAAAGCCGACACCGACGAGCGATGGGGATTATTCCGACCAACCACCGCCGGCGTTGGTCGGGGCTTTTACCGCTCTTCGCCGTTGTCATAGTCGTCGGCGAGGTCGCCTTCCTCGGACACCTCGACATGGTAAAGAATGCCGCGATGGTTCAAAACTGGACCAACTCCTTCAACTTCCCTTCCTCTTCCTCTTCATCTTCCTCCTCTCGCTCGACGCGGCACGTTCTCCAGCAGGCGGAGGAAGAAGGCTGGTGCCGGGAGTGGTTAGAGAAGGAGGATAATGTTTCTTATGCTCGGAATTTCGAGAAGGATCCGGTCTTGGTGGATGGCTCGGACCAGGTAAGTGTTATCCACTTTTATCCTTGTTTGATCTCCGTTTGAACTTAATTTACTGGGAATTAGTCATGTTTGGGACCTATTTAAGATCTCCTTGGAGAGAACTAGTATTTTTGGGCCTTTTTGCAGCTGTTTATTAGGTTTCGTATTTCCCTTCGGATTTCGATTTTGTGCCATATTCGAATGTACATTGGTACTGAATAAATCTTCTGATTTGGAAGTTTGCGAGGGGGATTTTGACTCATAGCCCTCTATTTTTTGGTACAATGAGATGTACGGCTTTAAAATTCTTCAAGGAAAATGCACAACAGTTGCTTAGGAGATCTTTGAAAGCTTATTCAGTTCATTATAAAGGGATGGGCTGAGGTGAAATGGCTATTGATCATACCCTGACCAACTTGGCACCGGCTGGGAGGCGAGGGTGATGTGGAACAAAGTCAGTTGCATACATCTTGAAATTTACATATAGTTGGAGCTAATACCTCATCTATAGCTCCCATCAATCTAAGCAATACAGAATATTGTTGAAATATTTACATCTTCATCCATAAGCCAATCTTGATCATCTCAGAAACATATGGATACACAATAACGAGAACACAAATCGGACTGATCTGTAAGATTTGAAAAGTCTAACCAGCTTTACTTTCGTTAGATTTAAACATCAGCAGCATTCTTACCATAATCTTTACCCCCATAACCCCAGCACTGAAGAACGGCCTTGTTGAAAAAATGAGCAGGCATTGCAACCTAAAAGAAGGCAAATTTATTAACAGTTCCATTAAATACGTTGGGAGCATGTCTGAACAATCGAACTAAGGCTTGGCAGCCAATAAAACAAGTTTTTTTTTTTGGGGATCAGATCCACAGAATAAAGAGCATAGTATTTAGATACTCTCACGATGCAGTAGTGGCTTATCATATCAGCAATCATATCTATAATTATTATAAAAGTTGCTTTAGGATTCCATTGATAAGTCTGGTGTTTTAGGTCTACCTTGCATAATTGTAGGACTAGGGGTGAGCAAGAGGGGAATCACCTGTCCTTGGCCAACTCAATTCTCTAACAACAGAGGTGTGCGAGATTCACCACAGTTGGTAGGCTGCCAACTGCCAAGCCCAAAAGAGAGGGGAGGAGGAAAAAAGATAAGAGAGGGAAGGAGCCAGAGGGGTTACAACTCAAATCATGAGGCTCCTTTGCAGCAAGTTTTGATGTTCTGAAAATCTTTTTCATGGGCATTGAGTGTTTGATGTCTTGTTCACCATTACTTCCTTATGATCTCACTTTAATTTAAGGTTTGCATCTGTTGGTCATCAGAATTACTACTTCCTCTCTCCTCTCATTGTGTATTGTGGAGGTAAGGTTTGCATTCGACGTTATTTCTATTTAGGCTTGTCTAGTTTGGTTGCTCAATTCTATCATTTTTATTTTTACAAAAGACGCCCATTAAATTCTTTTTCTTTCAAATTAATTTTTTATAAATTCCAAAAAAAACTTTTGAATTATTAATAATGAAACCCTTGTAATTAAGCATACCTTGTCTACAAATTCTACATGGGATGCCTTGTGAAGTTATAAAATCACAGTTAGTGTTATAATCATTTTCTTATTAAATCAAAATTTAGAAAATTATGAAAAACCTGCAAACAAATTTTTATTTGCTTAGCTTTGGTAATATTGAGTTAGAAAAAACTGATTAGCAAAATTTGACCTGTTTTGACAATATGTTTCACCTGTTTTGACCCGTTCTATTAAAGGTAATTGTACATTTATTTTACTCATTAGCAAAATTTTTATTTTAAATACATCCAAATCTACTTGATTATTTTGTTTACTTGTGTTTAAGAAGTTAAGTGTTGATTATTTTTAGTATTGTATTAAAACTCAGCACTAAAAAAAAAAAAAAAAAACTCAGCACTATAACATAAGCCTTATAAAAATGAAATTTTAGTCTTGTATACGTCGGGCCTATCACAAGTTGACTTATGTCAACCATGATACAAATTTTAACCAACAAATTCTATCCCCTTACCTTCTTGAGACACAATTGTACCGATTCCTATAGTTGAAGCATCTATCTCCACCTAAAAATGTCTAACACTAGGGTTGTGCAAAGTTTGTTTTTGATGTTGCTAAAACTTTGTTGTTGTTCTTTGTTCTAGAGGGGGACTTTCTATTTTAAACTGTCGGTGAGAGGTACGATTATGATACTGAAATTGGGAATGAAGCGACGATAAAAGTTGGTGAACCATAGAAACTTGTATGCTCGTAATTGAATGGCTTCCACTTTCTGTGGATCCGCTTGGATGCTTTTAGCACTAATAACAAAATCCAAAACATGCACTATATGAGCAAAAAAGTTAAATTTGGTGAGATTGATATACAATATTTTTTTCCTTTGAATGCCAAAAGTAGTTGGGATTGGTGTAAATGTTCTATTTGTGAATAACTGAAAATGAGTACATCTTTATGATAAATATCAAAATTTACCAAGGAAATTTTTTAGTATCACATTTGTTATGCACAGAAAGGTACTTGATGCATTGGAAAGATTAAAATGAATTGCCCAACGTTCATAGAGTCCTTTGTGAGTTTTAAAAGAAGTCTTTTGATCATCTTTTCGAATCCAAAATTGATGGCATTCTCTTCAAAGCTCTAGTTTAGAAAAAAAAAGTTGCAGTCCAATCTTTCAACATAATTTCTAGCCGCGACATTGGAAACTTGTATTAAATTGTAATTTTATTGAGTGCACAATTGTCATGCACTTTCATTAGTTGCAGTCTTTTTTTTTGGAATAGTTAGTGTGTGAATGTGTGTCTGTTGAGTTTCTTTAGAAGGTCATTCATGATATATTATGGATTTGATGTTCCCGTGGCCTCATCCTATAGCGTGGTAGATTCGGTAGAGTCAATCTCAAAACTAAATCAATCTACTATTGAATTGATCTTAGGGGTGGTCATTGTTCTTGGAACTCTGGTGGGTTGACATCAGCAAATTGCTTTAGCTTCTTGACTCTTAGACTCTCACTAATAGGGAATGCGTTCTTCTGTTAGCTGTATAATGAATTTATTGGAACTATAAGAATTGCACATTCAGTGTTAGAATACTTTTAGAACACTTCTACAAGGTTGGAGTTGGTAACAATTTCATTTTCTTTCCCATCCAATATAAAATGTGGGTGTTAAGCATGACAATCGTAGCTTGCTGCTATATCAAATTGCTTAGGATGAATTAACTATTGACCTCAATATTAGTTTTGGGGTCGAGTCAATTGCGCATGATGAGTTTCAAAAGCAAAAGAGCGCCATGCCACATAAAACTCGTCCGACTTGTGTCAACCGAAAACTCAAATCACCGAAATAGCTTCCGTTTGCGAAACAAACAATACTAAGGTGTTCGAGACAACTGAAACAACTAAGATCGACACCCATATTAGCCAGAGTTGTCAATCAACAAAAAATTAAAATTTTGCGCATGCGAATCAAGATGATATTGATGTGAGTGATGGTGATTGTAATTTGACAGACGAATCGAAACATGGTTAATTAAAAAAAGATATATATCAATTTTATATTGAAATGAATTACAAATAATAATTAAAAAAGATAGAAGAAATACAAAATAAATAAAAATACCTAAATCTAAATAACCTAAGCATAAACTCCTCATTTCTCTTTGTTGACCGCTCACACCACTCAAGCACAGCACTTCCTCACGTGCCCCTCTCCCTCTCGATTTCTTCTCTCTCATGTGACCCCGCGCCCCTCTCCCTCTCGTTTAGGAGAAACGAGGGGTTTATGTTTAGGTTATTTAGATTTAGGTATTTTTATTTCTTCTCTTTTTTTAGAATTATTATTTGTAATTAATTTCAAATATAAAATTGTTATAAATTTTTTAGTTAACTATGTATCAATTTGCCTGTCAAATTGCAGTTGTTGTCGAGCATATCAATATTGTCTTGATCTGTGCACGTGAAATTTTAATTTTTTGCTTATCGATAACCCCAGCTAATATGTGTGTCGATCTTAGCTATTTCAGTTGTTTTGAACACCCTGATGCTGTTCATTTCACAAACGGAGGCCATTTCAGCACATTGGGTTTTTAGTTGACTCACGTCGTGCAGGTTTCAGGCGGCATGGCGCTCTTTTGCTTTTAAAATTCACCATGTGTTGTTGACTTTACCCCGACACTAGTATTGAGATCAACCAATGATTTGATAAGCATCACATAAAAAAATTGCCAATAGGAAATGTGATTTTACATATATTCGAGACAAGGACATTAATTCCCTTAGAAATACCATTATTTTCTTAAGGTTGCATCTTCTTTGCCATTTTCAATTGAAGATCCTTAACTACACTACTAGAGATTATATTCTATGCATCCACTATCCACCAGAAGATCGAAGAACTTATTGACTAATATTGTTGGAAAAATAACATGACATTTCGAGGCCACTGGCTATCGGGGAGCTAATATCACCTTTTCATATACTAAGAATTCTCCTTTTTCAGTTGAAACATCTTTAACTTTGGCAACACTGAGGGGCGATATAGGTTGGTTTCCATTATCTTGTTTCCCATCCATTAATTGAATTTGTTGCCGACTTGGATTTTAGTCAAATCGATGATTAGGTTGAAAACTATGGAAACACTTAGATGAACTTGCTTTTCTGTAGATATTGTCGAGATTGTATCAAACTCTTGTTTGTATTTTCAGCTTCGGGAGACTATTGACATACGTAAAGGGGGATTAATATGCGGGAACCTTGAGAACATCTTTGATATTAAAGACAGAGCATTTGCTTGTAAATAGAGGGAAGAAAATGCCACTTAATAATTGTTTCATCCTTTTGGAGCTATTTATATGGCTTCACACTTCTCGATGTCATGATTGAGTCAATTGAAGCACCATGCCCTAGCACCACCCCCTTTGAGCTTGTAAGGTCCCCCTTTGAGCTTGTAAGTTACATATTTAACCTGTCACTAGTGAGGGAGTTTCTTTTTTCAGTCAAGATAATCCTCAATGTAATTCTCATCAAAGAATGGTATATCAATTTTTACTTGAAATCTCAAAGTGATTTCTCTTGACTCTGTTGCAGTCTTGGTTTATGGTTCAACTGTAATGTTCAATATCCAAATTAGATTCAGAATAAGTAGTGTGTCAGTGGGGATAACAAACTCAGTCATAATCAAGAAACTTTATATGAGTTGGTAGATTAGGTCTTTGGGAACACTAAAGATCCCTATTTACCACTGCAACTTTTCTAGGTATCGGTATGATTGTTGGGTTTGCTAGTTTGGTGCTAGAGAGAGTGCCACATCCTTGAACACTGAAGCTCTCTTTGAATTTCAATATTAAATTGCTGGAAGTTGGTCCTGAAAACCTCTAGCCTCAGTTCGAGCATTAATTGGCCTTCACGCCGGGATGTTGCGATCATTATCGCCAATTTGGCTCTTACCGTCACCTGCATGGATGATCTTTGATACCAATATGGCATAGTAGCCTGTAAGGAGAAAAACTAACAGAACAGAGGAGGATAATCTTTTTGTTTCTAGTCCCTTTAGGAAATCAATATATCAATAATCCTCCACTATCATTCAATTGGGATACTTATATAGCCAAGTTCCACAAGCTACTAAAGAAAAAAACAACTAAACTAGGCTATATGCTAATAACAGTGGTTAATGCTAACTAATATAAGCAAAGTAGGGAAAAACTAGAAATAGAGACTTGATATAGTTTTGATGAGTTGTATCAGCAGTACTATTGTGTATAATTTTATGATAGTTATTTGAATGAATTACTGGAGTTGTATCTGCAAGAAAGCTCATGTTTTTATGCCTTCTATGTATATTTTATAGTATTAAGTGGTATGCATGTAAATCTCCCTATTTTATATTATTCTCTACAACTGTGCTGAACAAATTTGTGCATCTATCCTAGTAGTATCAATTGCAGTGATTTATTTTGTATTTTCCTCTTCCTGCACTTTCATATATATGAAAAACAAGCTTTCTGATTTCAATATTTTAAGGATGTTTATTTGTAGTAGTGAACAGGCATCTCACTTCTTTGTATCCACTATTTGAGAGAGGTGAATACCGTAATTAATCAGTCTTTGGTTTAATCATTATAATGATGTTAGACGCAAGAGGTTTGTTCAGTTTCAACGAACTAGTCTTTTAAGTTATGAGTCACTCTCTCCCAGTGATATTTTCTTATGCTAGGGATGCTGCAATACTATATATTTGGAGTATGTAATAGCTGTGATTTGGCGTATAGCTATTAATGTAAACTAATCAATCTTTGGAAGGCATTTTCCTCTTTGAATTGGAGTGAAAGCTTTCTTCCTTTATTTTTGACATACTTTCTCACTTTATCATATTGTTTTTAGGATTGGAGTTCATGCACCGTGGGGTGTAAGTTTGGATTTCTAACTAACAAAATACCTGATGCCGTATTTGGACTATCCTCAAATCCCGCAACAGCAACTCTTCACCGATCCATGGAATCTTCTCAATACTATGTGGAAAACGATATTTATCATGCACGACGGTGGGTAAGCACGATTTAATTGCTTTTCTTTTCTGTGCTCTTCTTTATAGGGGTTGGCCATGGTTTAACAAAAAATAACTCCAAAATGAAATAACTAAAGTATTGGTTCCTTTTTGATTTGTGACTTATATAGATTGATGAATTTGTTTTGATTTAGATTTAAGGTTTTAGAAAATAAAAATATTTGAATCTAACCAAACTATGCTAGCATGGTATTTTTTTATCCATATAATAAAAAAAGCAAATCATTAGTCTTAATTTATTACCTATAAAATATGTTTTTCACTTGTGATAGTTCTGAACAATAATAAGAATTATAGAAAGATAAAATTAAGAAGATGTAATATAGTAATTTATTCCTTTCACCGTTAATATTAAATAGCATAATATAAATACAGAGATGAGTAAGGGTCACTGATACAAGAAAGGTAATTTCACAATTGCGATCAAGATTAAATGAATAGTTTTTCCCATGGTTGACAAGAGCTGAAGGAGGAAGCGGCTGCTATAAATCGAATTACACAGTGACAGTGGTAATGAGTATATGAATGGCCGTCCAGATAAGGACCATTATGCTGAGTGATGGTTCTTGTTTGGTAGCTTATCATTTGATATCATCTTCCCGCAGGTTGACAATTCATTCATGAATGTTCAACTTGCTTCTTAAGGTAATGAATTGAGTTGTTGTAAGAGATTTGTTAAACACATCAACAATTTGGTCTTGAGTTGCTATATGACATCTTTTGATTTCTGGCAATTACTTATAAAGTGATAATCTATTTTGATGTGCTTGATTCTGTCGTAAAATATTGAATTGTTTCCAAGAACAAGAGAGAAGACGTTGCCGCATTAGAGTGTAGTAGGTTGATCGGTGGGGGACGGGAAAGTAGGTTGATGACATAACCATATGATATATGCGGCAGCCATAGCAAGAGCTCTTTACTTCTTTTTTTGTGGAGGACCTAGCCGCCATCATTTTTTTTACAATGTAGAAGGAGATTAGAGTGGTGCCTAGGAAGGCCCAATAGACGAATGTTGAGTTTCAGTTAGTAGGATCGCCTTTTCAATCCAAGTCAGAGTAAGCGTAAGTCTAAATTATCTCTTTAAATGGGAAGCCTGAGTTGCATTTCCCCTTTAATATATATGTAACCTTTTGAGGAGCTAAAAATGAATGTTAAGCAACTTGTGATGTATTGGTAAATGTAGTTGATTGCAATGAAGATGTTGGGTCTTGTAGTCGTCAAGTATTGTAGTACTTGGTGGGATTAGAAATGATGTTGTATGATTTTTGGTGCTGAGAGTTTTGATCGAAATATGATTACGGCATATGTGCAGTTTGACATATCAGCTCTATGTAGTATTTCACCAGCATATTTAGCTTGACTAAGATGAAATCTTGTTGATGTTTGGTGGATTTGAATGCTAAGAAAGTATAAAATGGAATCTAGATTTTTCATAATGACCATTTGGTGGAGATTGTTGATCAGTTTGTGGATGGTTGCTAGATTGCTTTCTGTAAGCAATGTATCATTTACGTAGACAAGAAAATAGGTGTAGTCATTTTTGGAGAAGTAGGGATGGGTCTGTCTTACTTGTATGAAACTTGAGTCGATGTAGGTGGGAGGGGAGAGTGGAAAATTTTTGATGTTGTAGTAGGGGTGTCAATATTTGACACGACCCGAAAACCCGACTCGAATCCGACACGAAAATTTTGGGGTCGGGTTAAAGATTTCTACCCGTTTTAAAAGGGGGTCGGGTCCGGGTTGACCCGGAAACCCGATATTGGCCCGTACTGATTCGGAAACGGAAACCAAGGTCCGAGTCAGCTCCGCGATACGAGACTCCACGTCATCTCGCATCGCGTCAGAACTGTGGATCGTCGTCTCGTCTCGTCAAGTCGCATACCGGGCGCGCCATCGCGTTTCTCCAACCAGACAACCAGGTCGAGGCGTCCGCGCGCGTCATCCCTCGGTTCCGCCATCGGCTGTCCACATAGTTTCCCTTCGGCGTTCGCTGGCTCGACGGCCCGTCGCTGGCTCGAAGTCATGTCTGCCACTGCCGATGGCCGACGGAACTCCTGATCCATCGTTGTTTAGTCCCGTTCCGACGTTCTTTCGTCCTTTCCAACGTCTGTCGAGTCCGTTTCGTCCGCAGTTGCCGTTGTTCTGTGCTGTCGCCCTCTGATTCGTCCCATCAAAAATGATTTAGCGGGTCGTGTCGAGTTGACCCGAACCCGAAGCGGGTCATTTTCGGTCAGAAAAACTGACCCGTTTGCAAAAATGGGTCGGGTTCGGGTTTACCCGAATAATGTCGGGTCAGTTCCGGGGTCGACCCGAACCCGACCCGTGACCCGAAATTGACACCCCTAGTTGTAGATGACTTTCATAAGAGGTTATTCGTGATTTGGATTTTGAGGATCTACAAATCCAGGTGGTTCGTTCATATGGATTGTTTATTGTAATTTGACATGCTAAAATGCATTAGATATTTCCAATTGCATAATTGGCGAATCATGAGTTGAGGGAATTGTAAGTAGAACATGAATAGTAGACATTTGTGCCAGACTGAAAGTTGTGTTAATATATCACATGTACTTGCTTATAGCCTTGAGAAACCTACCTGATATTTGGACATGATGGGAGATGTACATTTTCCTTGTGTTGGTTTCAACACATTTGTATCCTTTATAGTTTGTGGCGTAACAAAGAAAGACACGTTGTGGATCTTGTTATGAGTTTTTGTGGAGATTGATGTTGCAACCATGGGTAACATATACAACAAATGGCTTTAGGGTGTATATATGCAGGAGGCCTGTTGTATAGGAGTTGATATGGAAGTTTATTTATAGATAGAATGTAGCTATGAGAGTGTCAAAACAAATGGTGATTGTCAAATTAGCATCAAACATCAAAGTTCAGACAGTTTCAATTATATGTTGATGTTTGCATTCAACTATGCCATTTTGTTCAGACATGTATGAAATATTGTATTGGTTGACATTTGACAATATCTCATTGGGCTAGATGGTTTTGAATATTTTTATTGGTGTATTTGCCACCACCATCAGGATAAAGTATTTTGATGGATGTGTTGTGTTGGTTTTCAGTCATTATTCTTGAAATGTATGAATTGGTTGTTTTGGATATATATTTTATAGAATAAACCCTAAAAAATGAGAGAAATCTTCTACAAACAAACCATTGTATTGATATCCTTGATTTGTGATACTCGGGGAAGGACCTCTTACATCATTGTGATTGAATTCTAAATGAGAGCAACTAGCAGTAGTAGATATAGAAAAGGAAGTTTATGACTTTTTGCAATAGAATATGAAGAGCAGTGTGCTGATTTTAGCTAGGTAGCTTGAATTTTCAGATGAGTAGGGAGTTATTGTTGAATTGAAATTAGGTGTGACCAAGATGTTGATGCCAGATTGGGAAGTCAGGTTGAGTTGATAGAAGAGCGAGGTGGTTAGAATTGATGAGTGGAGTTGCGACAGATTAATTGGGTTAATAAAGAAGAGCCCGATTGACTGTCAAATCATTGATTTGATATCTAGAGCTATCAAAAGAGATTGCAGAAGGATTATCATTGGTCAGTTTATTTATAGATAGGAGATTGTGAGTGATGTTTGATATGTAGAATAGATTAGAGAGGTTAAGTGTACCATATGTAGGGCTGTCAACAAATGACCCGACCCGAAAACCCGACCCAAAAAATTCGGGTTCGGGTCGACCCGTTTAATAAGCAGGTCGGGTTCGGGTTTTACTTTTGGACCCGTATAACAATCGGGTTGGGTTCGGGTCAACCCGGTAACCCGATTACGACCCGACGACAACCCGCGTTAAAGTTTAAATAATGTCGAGTAGTCTAGCGGTCGAGCCATCGAGGGCCATCGAGCGGATCGGCGGATAAGTTATTAGGGATTTCTCATTTCTCAGTTAGGGTTTCGTTTCTCTATCTCCGACTCCCATCTCCGATTCTCTCGCTTCTTGCCTTCCTCCAGAAGTCCAGAGTCCAGGGCTCCAGCCTCCAGGCCGTTCGCATCTTTGGCTTGGTCTGTAAGACTGTAATCACTAGTCAGTGAACTCATTACTTTTGAATAAGTTTGGTTTCGTTTTTTTAGGAGTATTTTGGCATTTTGCTGAGTTTTGGTTTCTGATTGACTGATCTACGATTCTACAGATCTACTATTCTACGAATCTACATTATTTCTACTCTTCCTTTATTTCACAATTTATCAATCTGGAAGTTAGGGTTTGCAGTTTTTGTTGATTAGGGTTTGCAGTTTGATGTTTTTGACATTTGGTTTTGGACCTTTAAGGTCTTCTGTAACTTCTGTCTAGCACCGTTTATCATATTCTTTTGGCATCTCATATGTCGGCAATCGGCATGCCGTCTGCGACTCTGCGCCTCTGCGGGTTGGGACTCGGGACTGGGGAAATATGGTTTTCAACTTTTCATTTATATTTCCATTATTTTGCCATTATAGTGACTCTGCGCCTCTGCGGGTTGGGACTCGGGACTGGGGAAACTTCTATTTTCATTATTTTGCCATTCCAGTTAGGCTATGAGCCTTTAAGCCTATGAATCTTTGATTAATTGATTATGTTTCCCTGCTGTTTCTTGTCTTCTGAAATAGTGATTAGTGAAAACTGAATAGACTAATACTATCATAGATTCATAGTTCCGATTATGTTTCCCTGTTGTTTTCTTGTCCTCTTTAATATTTCGTAAGTAAGTGTTTTTTACTTTTTTTGGTGTTTAGATGGAGGGTTCTAATACAATTGTTGACAGTAATCCTCTCGAGCAAAATGAGGAAGAGCCTATTGATAATGACGTTGAATGTGACAGTGATGAGTATAACAATGTGGATGTGGGTGAGGACCGTGAGGTTGGTGATAATGCAATTCAAAATGAACAAATAAATAAATAAAAAGAGGAGGTTGACCTCTACTATTTGGGGACATTATGAAATGTTGCCAGTTGGTAATGATGGC